ACTTTTGACTCCGTCTGAATATAACTTTAAAGCTGCCCGCAACGCCCATCGGATACATTCTTGATCTTTATTTTGGACGTTTATGATTGCTTTTTTGTCTAACAGTTCCTCAGGCAACGGAATGTTAGAAGAACCCACTGGATTATATTTAACCACGTTGATGTAAAAAGCGACAACTTTGTCAAAGATCCAACCCGAGCCTTTTTGTGTATGGGCCTCCACCTCTTTTATTTGCGCTTCGCGTTGTTCAGTGAGTGCGTTTTTAACGTCGGCTTTATTTGCGACTGCATCGTTGTCTCTCGGAAAGGGAAATACGCCAAATTCAGTTTTTTCAGGTTTTTCTAATCTAAACTGAACTTTTAGAGCCGTTTGCAATTTGTACGAACCAATTTCTTTTAGTTCTTCCAAAGCTTTTTTCTCGATGACAGTTTTGTAAAAATCAAAAAAGTGTATTAGGTCATATTCAAAGAAATGGGGTATCAATTCCCAATTGCGAAAATTACCCTGAAAGCGCCTGACGTTTCTAATGTCGACTTCCGCAATTTCCTCAGGCGAAGTGTAAGCTTTAATCGCATTGATAAAGTCCTGTTTGACGTATCTGTCTTTCTGTGCAAAAGGAATATTATATTTTTGTACCGTTTTCAACAGCTGCCGATATGACTGACGCGGGAGATATCTAAATTGTTTTTGATCCTCTTTGATAGCGTTTATTAGTTCAAATCGTGTATGATGTTTACGTTTTGGTGCAAGTAGCGGAACGTTATACCGCTTGACAAAATCTTCTAAAAACGCCTTCTTAAATCGAGTAAAATATTTTAGTATTGGTCTGTGTAGAAGGTTGCTCATGTCTCTGTTTATAAGTAGGTTTCTAAAATTTTTATCATTTTTTCTATCGACTTGACTTGACATGTTTTTTATATATAGGTCATTTATTTAAGGCAGTTGTAAATATAGCGTGTTTTGCTTTGAACAGAGCCAAGGTCACGAGTTCAGACCGGAAAAGCAAGGGGAAATCCCTTTTTGTTTGCGAGTGATTGCCAAGTCGCGAGTTGTTTACAGCCGGGGTCAAAAGTTCAAGGTCAGTGAAGTGGAAATCCCCGGCTTCTTTTTAGTCGATGTACTACCCAAGGGTTTTGAGCAAAAACGGGGTAAAAAGGGGTGTGTGGTCCAGAACTGTCCCTCTCCAACTACTGTAGGCTACCAGCCATTTTGTGCAAGCACTCTTCAAGTCATGTGTAATGTGGTTACCAGTTTTACCATGCATACAATCTATATATGTGCAAAAAACACCAATGTTATATGTTGGGGAATTAGCTCATGTGGTAGAGCGCTCGTCCTATAAACGAGATGTACCGGGATCAACGCCCGGATTCTCCAAATTTTTTTTCATTCATTACAAAATAGAAAATAGTTCTTCCGTTTCCGTCTCTTTATTTGGCTACCTTTTTTATCTTCCAATAGTTTTCTTGTCATAAAACCCTTACAGTTTATTGAAATATCTTTTTCTCTTACATTACTGCGAAAAACACATAGGGCCTAAGTAATAACTTACTTTTTAATAAAATCTGTCAGTCGGAGCTTGCTCAAATTTAAATTACTTTAAATCTGGATTATCGGGCCATAACGATATCTTGAAAGTCTATATAACCTGTATTAGTTGTATGCCTGTTTATTTAATAACAGCTTGAATTACAATGCCCCCAGTGTCTGGTCCTCTCCAGATGTAGCAAATGCTTCTATTCTTAACTTAAAATAGATGAATTTCATGGGCCAACTATAGTGGCATGTTGGTTTCAAAGGCGAAGCCCTCGGCAGATAGAGAATTGAAGAAAACGACCTAAAAGCTCAGACGATCCAGTAATGGTCGTGTATGTACATGAAAAGGAAAAAGTGCCAAAAAAAATCATTTTTCCATGGTTACATGTTCACATTAGGTTATCGTTCGACGGTAGCTATACGATAAAAGTCGGTAATTTGGTACACTTTTTTTTATTTGGGAGCCTATCTAATCAAAAGTTGGAACTTGGAAGACGCATGTGCGGTAAACAGACTAAACAGATTTTCTCGGACCCCCTCCCCAAAAAAAAACAATCCTGGATCCATCCCTGGTTATTCTCATATCAATTACTTAAATCATTATGAATTTTCAACAGCTGCACTTGAAGACTTTTTTGAAGATTCTGCAGCAGCTTGCAGTTTTTTAAAAAGTATGATGAAATCAGAATCCAAAACTCTCAATTTAGTTTACAAAATTGGTACAAACATTTTAAATTACCCAAGACAAAGGCAAAGCGCATGCATTGCTTCCTGTCTGGATCACTTGTCCGGGGTTTGAAATCACGCACGAGTCTATGGCTGTGGCTGCAGCCCTTTCCCATTGAGTTGTGTGTGAGTTCAGGCCTCAGCCAAGTCATTCAAGATACGGCTTTTTATGCAGCGCCGCATGTGCTTGCTGTACGTGTATGTACGGGATGACGAAAGCACAAACATGGCGGCTTCCACTGCGAGCAAGGTGCAAGCGTTGTACTCGGAGTTAAACCGAGCTGACCAGAATGGGGACTACCAGAGGGCTTTAC